AAAAAAAACTAATCTATTTATTCATAAGAAAAAATATCTATTTATTCATATATAAGTAGTGTTTTTCACAACAAATTAGATAATAGAAACATCCGACGACGGCGTCATTCGAGAGCTTCCGACGGACTGACAACAGTGACGACGCATGTCACGGGGGAGGGGTGCTGTGAAAAGCGAGTACAAGTGGCTGAGAGATAGAATCAGTGCCTAATTTTCGTTAATCGATTCAGAACGTTTTTTAAATGTTTTTTTTTTATAAAATAAATAATATTTGCGTATGGAACTAAAGAGCCGCAGCTTCACATCCAAAGAGCCGCATGTGGCTCGCGAGCCGCAGGTTGCCGACCCCTGGCTTAGGCAGATGGGAGACTCGACTCTGAAGCACAACGTTACACCTGATAGCTCTGGTACGACATCACTGCAAGCTTTCACGACAAGTTGAGGGGAATCTTCGCAAAGGAGGGCGCGAGTGCAAAACTACTTCGGACACACCAATCGATATTTTCTAACATTTATCTACCTGTTCCACTCCCTCAACGACGATTCTTCTAACTATTGTCTTCAATTGGATGCACCATTGTGGCTTCGCGTCGCATAACTTTAGAGAGCACAAGGAAACAATTGTATTCCATATTATATCCATTAAAAACAATTGAAATTTGTTTATATGCCAATTAAACAAAACCTGCATAAGTATATAAATTTAAACCGTAGAACCCATAGTTTCCGAATATTTAGTAATGTAGTAAAATACGGTTTTTTCCCCTTTTACATTCGTTTGAAAGTAATGATTCAAACCTGTTTATTATAGGAAAGAACGTTTGGGAATATATTGAAACACCACTTCCTTTAATGAAGTTAACTTAAATTTTATGAAAATTTTTGTCAAAGAACTTGTGACGTTACGTTTCAAAGGGATAAAAAGTATGATATTGCCATACAATTGATGTTAATAAGTTTATTCATCTCTTACTTATTAATTTATCCATAAATAGTCAATTTAGTAAAAACTTTTCATATCAAAATTGGAGATTTACTGATGATAGAAAATGAATACAAATTACTTATATTTATTTCAGAGGAAACTTGTCTTTAAGTAAAGATAAGAAACATTTAGAACGAATTCATACAATCCGCATATTAAGCGGAAATTATGTGAAAGATAAGGAAGAATAATAAAAAGGCTCAGCAGGGGTTCGAACCCTGGATCTTCGGTTTACAAGACCGACGCCGTACCACTTGGCCACTGAGCCACTCTGTTATTAATTCGGAAAAGTAAATATTATAACAAAATTTGTTTTCGTTTCCTTGTTTTTGGTTCCTTTGAAGTTAACATAGCATTCAATACTGTAAAACGATTTACGTATGACTCATCTCAGCCACCTGCATAAGTAAGACTGCTTTCTCAGTACTTTACTGTAAAAATATTTAGTGTACAGACTGTGTTGATTTTACGATAGGAATGCGTTCTCAGAGGAAGCGGCATAAACTAAATCAGCGCAAAATTAATCCATTATACTTGTCAGCATTATATAGTACTGTATCATGAAGCGAAGAGATGCCTTCCAGGTCGTTCAAAAATTTATACAGTAAATTAACGAATTACAGTATTTACAGTATTACAGTATTTATGTAAAAATAAATACAGTAGAACCTCGATTATCCGGACTAATTGGGGATGAAGGTAGTCCGGATAAGGAAAAATCCGGATAATCGAAACAAATACTTTGTCTTTTAATCATAATACAACACGTTTTCCTTTCGATGACATATCGGTAATATTAAAAGTAAATACTGTATTTAAATCGTGATCAAATTTTCAAGAAACAAACGTTCGTATTGAATTTGGACTACTACTGACCAACGCTAACAGACTACCTATTGTTTAAAAGGCCCTCTGGTGGCGCAAGAAGACGGATTTTATAAAATAAAAAGCAGTTGAAACTGCATTTTTATGAATAAAAATTTGACAAACTATTTATCGTTTTATGACGAGTAAAATTTTTTCGTCGCGTTCGCGGCTTTTAAGTAATGCATAAACCTTCGAGGCGCGAGGCCCTTCGGACCGCGAGGCATAGGCGGTGGCCCACGTCGTCCATGCCTTACGCCGCCCTTGGTCATAGAAATGATGTAATTTGAATATAAATTATTTATAAATACGTATGTCAAGTTATATTTTTATTACTACGTAAAATATATTTAAGAGTTTACGAGCAACTGTGCTGGGTGAGACGTTGTTGAAACAAAAAAGTTATGCATTCCATCACATACATAAACAGTGTCGTAATTCGCCAAGTGCAAATCAGCAAATTCGTAAAATTTTTGTTTATTTTGAACAATCCGGATAATCGAAAATCCGAATAATGGAGGTTCTACTGTAAATTTAATACAGTATCAAATTTATTTATTTTTACATAAATACAGTACTGTAATACTGTAAATACTGTAATTCGTTAATTGTAAATCGTTTAGTTCTAAACGTCCTCTTTGTCAGATAATCTCGCTCTTTCTCTTTCTCAACCGGTAGAAACAAAAATGATGGTTTTGTGAGCTAATGTCCAGTATTTCTCACACCTGTGCCGCGGTTTTACAAAGTGTTCATAGATTGATACTGTACCTGAAATTCGACCTAAATTCGAATCTGACCAGGATGGAGTAATAGACTTTTAATGGTCGATAGTCCTTGCAAAGTAAAAAAACATTCGTTATATGGAAATTTATCTTTGTTATTTAGAAACAATTTTACATATACTTTTGACCGAAAGAGTAGAGTACCTGTAAAATGCAAAAATTCGTTATACAGAGAAATTCGCTGTATAGAATTCGTAATATGGAAGTTTTTCTATAAAATGCATAAATTGTATATACTGTATTTAATGAAATAAACGAACGCCCATCGAAGCTTCCTCTTGTCCAACTTGTTCACCTTCTCCTATCCTTCTAGTGCGGACGTCATTTTTGAACAGCCCCATAGCTTATACAGAGAGAAGTTCTATATCAGATGACGGCACGTCGAAGAAAGCCAGTTTGTGTAGATTTGCAGATGAAATATATTATTATATGTCAGATAGTTTGGAACTTTATTTCTTGTGAAGGAGATGGCCGATTACATTTTGTAAAGGATTCAGTGCATAAGGACAGCCGTGAGTCTCGTTCTACTGTCTACATTTTCTAAACTCTTTGAAAAGAGTGCATCTTTCAAAATGACTGCAGAGCTAAAATGGTAAAATTTTCCTGTAGTGTGGTATTGTTATTTTAGTATTTTTCTAAATTTATTGCCTGCGTAGGAAATGAACTACATTTTTCAGTAGTCTATTAGGTCACAAAACAGCTCAGACATGAATCCTATTAAAAATTGCTAGAACCAAATAAGCAGGATTTCGCAGATAAGAAGGTTCACATACGTAGCAAGCTTATAGAACTTATAAATATTTGATACCACAATATTTCACTGCATTACATCAGAAGTGACAGAATGAAAATGCCATGCCTCAGTGTCACGAAGGCAGGGAGAATCAACAAAATATTAAAGGGACTTTTTTCAGGCTCTTTCCGCTTTATGGGTACTAAGAGTATAGCCCACTAGTAGCCGAGTGGGAAAAAACCACTGAACATTGGTAGCTGATCGCAAGTTCGCGCCGCAATTGGATAAATGAACTTTTCCGAATTTTTTCACGTGTCTAAAACCTAAATAGGGGCCAGTTTCTCTCGAGAAGCATTTCCCTCGGCAGATTATCTGTGTCCAATTGCAGTTTCCACCACACCAAACCACTAACAGCATCTTTTTCAAGCATATCGTGGGCCTAGTGCTGACCAGATGGTAAGTTTCACCTAAGGCTAAACCTATTTCTACTGTGCTTGCTTCCAGAACTGCTGCTAATAGAAAGCACTTCTAGAATTGGCGCTTCTATGAACTATTTATAAACAACTTTAGAGTATATTTACGGGAATTCACTGTCTTTGGCATTATTATTTTCATTTATTTTTCTCGTTTTCAATATTTTTGACTGCTTATTTTGCCACTTTTGTCATTTTATTACTTTTGGCAGTCGCATCGTTTTTTGCCCATCGAGCCAGCCTGTATAGTCCAGCCCGACATGAGGTGCCAAGTAGTGAGAAAATAAGCCCGACATTTTCAGATTGGACCACTACAGGAATCGATATCTCGAGTAGAGTTGCCATAGGTTCAAAACCAGAAATCGGGACATTGTATACGTGAGGTAGCATTATGGTAAAATTTGATGGATATCCAGAAATCTGTTAGACTATCGTCTAGAAATAGACAGGCTACTGCCTGTCTATTTCTAGACGATAGTCTAGCAGATAGTCTAGAAACTAAGTCAATAATTCTAATTAAATTAATTTTATCGATCAATTACCAATTAATTTTATTCATGAGTTATCAATTATTAAGCATTTAACCAAACGTACTTGTTTGACTTTTGATCGATTTCAATCTTTTGATAGTTTTGTAGATAACTCACCCAGCACTACATAGGGCCAACAGAATATGACGCGTTATGCTACAGACAACTAAAGGTGTAAGCATGCACGACATCCATAAACATTAACCGCCTACGAGCCCACCAGTTTCTGAGTGGATAAAACCACTCAACACTGGTTCGTGGGTCCCGTGATCGAATCCGGACGGGTCAAGGAATCCCCAGGAATTTTTAGTCCGTTCGGATAAGTCGGGCCCCTTCCCTCACCACCCGGTCGCCCCATTGTGGGCCTGGTCGAACCTATAATGGGCCTACTATAAGAGGCCCTCTTAGTGCCCACAGGGCAGAAAGAATTAAAAAAAAAAAAAAGTGTTCTTGGGTTTGAGTCTCTCAACGGGCTAGTCACGTAGAGTTTTCCGGGTTTTCTTCACATTAGTAACACCTAAATAGGGACCACTTAGGCTTATATTTAGGTGTTACTAACGCATAAAAAGTCCTCCCGGGAGCCATCGCCCGCGTGTTGCATTAATGTATACAAATAAACCAAACTACACCACAGTAGCGTAGCGTAGTGGGGGCGGCAGGGGCGGCCCGCCCTGGGCGGCACTTTTTATGGGGGCGGCAAAATTTCACAATATAATTACGGTCCCAACAATTACGATTCCTATAATTACGCCCCCTATAATTACGGTCCCAATAATTACGATTCCTATAAAACTGCAAAAAAATTGTGACGGTATCCGTAAAAAACAGTAAAAACCCCCCTATAATTACGTTAAACGTCATCGGGCAGCCGAACTACTTTCCCGCCGTCCGTAGCGCCACGCTACAGAGAGATTTCTATCGTCTGGACAGTATTATATAAATTATATATAAATTAGGTACTGTACATATAATTATATATTAATTATATATAAATTAGGTACTGTATATATAATTATATATTAACTTATTNCGATCTTTTAAAAGCATCTGATTTCATTTAAATTTATCCAAGAATCCACAAATTTACAGTTGACTGAATTGTCTTGTAACAAGCAAAATTGAAGATAAACAATAATTAAAATACTTACTTAGACCAGAATATTTAAATCTTAAAAAGAAAATAACATGATTTTAAGGCATTGGCATAATACATTTACTAATCGAAGGATAAAATTGCACCCATGATGCAATTTCAGTGGCGTGACTGCAACACAAAACAAATCAATTGTTTGCGTAATATCGTATTTAAAAGTATTTTCTATTTTAAGAAAACCTGCATTTGGTTTCTTAAGAGAAATATGTTGTATTAGAGCTACAGAACTAAAGTTGCATCCAGATCTGAAATTTTTAGTATTTACAGTCCGCCTTTCGATAGCTGAAAGTAAAACATGTATCCAGGTAACCAGAAGCAATGTTTGTGCATTGTTTGTTTTCTACGACCAGTCCTCCGGTCGTTAGAAATATTTGGAATTAAAATGATGTATTGTGACTGCAGGAAGCCTACCAAAAAATGGAAATATTTGTCAAAGTTATATTTTCTGTACCAAACTGCTATAGAGATATTTATATGGACTAATTTAGTACTTACTACTCAAGAGATAACAGACAATTTGGTGTGTGTCGGGTGGATCAGAATGTTCCCTAAGAATCAAATACTTATAAAATTTATTTTAGTTACATTTGGTATTTTCACAGTATTTCAATTTAGTTTGTTTAAAAGGAAAAGACTTTATATACCTAAAAATAATAGTGGATATGAAGGTGAAGAAGAAGAAATGACACATGTCATTCAGATGTTTTTTATTTGTGGCATTACAGTTATATTTTCTTCAATAATTCTAGTCATTACTATAATTGACTTGTTTCTTTATCCTACTTTGAAGAAAATAACGGACTCAGAGTTTGAGCTGGCATTCTGTAACCTGAATATCACATTAATGTGTATTTATGTAATTGGACAATTAGATTGCTGTATACTTGTTTTTGGTGCAAGTGCCGTTATGCTCTCGAAAAGATTCAGGTATTTATCTGTTGCAGTAGACGAATTGAAAAAAGACGAAAGTTTCTTGAAGGCTAAAGTCGAAACTTTGATCGAAACTCATTGGGATTTATGGACTTACCTGCAAGAAGTAAACCTAGTTTGTGAAGCATATCTTC